TATTTTAGAAGTTGAATAAAGCCCATTTTCTGTTTGGATGAAGATACTGTATGGCTCAATTTCTCCCGCTGCCTGTAAAGTAAAACACACTCAGTTAGTAAAAAGTTCTAAGTCAATGAAAAGCAGGTAAAAAATGCAGTAAGTGCAACATTTTACCATGTACGCTTCTGTGTTTCCAGGATCAGTTATTCTTTCAGGACTGGTTATTCGCACCTGTCGTCTTCTGCTGGGAAAACAATTACCAAAAAAATGTTTTTCAAAAATTCTGCATTTTCTTAGAACTGAGATAAAAATATTTATTTTTATATATGTGGATTTTAAATAAAGACCTTGTGCAGGAGAATTACAAAAATAAAGACACATCGACCATAAGATGAGCGTCAGCGTAAGATAAATGTTACATTAAATAATATGTGAGACAATTTGCATGAGATGTTGTGAATGCCTCAGTAAATATGATTATATAATATTATATAATATGATTATAATATGGTTATACTCCCTAACCGTGTTATAATACTGAGAACTGACTGAGAACCTTCACAGACATTATAATAATCTCTTACCTGCTGCATTTTCCTACGTATATAAATCCAAGGATGACTCCAGATATGATTAAGACTACAAGCACTCCAATTAAAACATAGAAAGACAAAGAAAAATGTATTTCTGTAGGACTGGTGGTGACTTCATGGCTTTCAGTGCCTAGAAAAGAAAAACAAATGAGTAAATCACCAGTGAGTTAATGAGTTAATTTTAAAGCAACATCATGCTATAGTTGCTATAGTGTCATGTAATATGTCCTTGAAATTAAGTGATTTTTGATTTTATTGTTTATACTGCTTAACAGCAGATTTTGTTGGGTCAATTGTTTTTTCTCTACATTAAGATATGTGGGCAGTTGTGAGGTGACCCCAGCTTCATACAAACCTTTGTTGATTGATATGATACCAGTTATCAATAACCACAGTAATAAGTGAGGCTCGGTTATAAAAGGTATTAAATCCACACTTTACCTTCCACAGTGACATTGAGATGGAGCTTATATGTTCCTCCAGTCTGTACACACTCACAGGTGTAGTTCCCGCTGTCCTCCTGTGTTAAATTTGTCAGGTGGAGAAACACAGTCTGATTTTCTGTCATCAGTGTGAACCTGGAGTCACATCCATGCTCAAAGTTTTGTCCATGTCGATACAGCAGACTGCACTCTCCTCCTCTGCTCCTCTGTGTGCTGATCTTACACACTATCAGCATGATAACGTTCAGCGTTTCGTTGCTGCATATTTGAGTGACATCTGGTTGTTTGTCAATGATTTTCATAAGAATCTCCGTACCAGCTGAAATATGTAAAACTGGAAGTCAGTTCTGTGTGATATACAGTTGCTAAGTTACCACTTGCACATTACCAACATTTATTGGTAAATACAGGTAATAAAACCTAACATAGATTAACTGTAAAACAACAACAACAATGCGCTGCATAAGCAATCCTACATAAATAAAAGTAGTAATAAAAGTAACTGTTTTGCAAACCTTTGTTGTCCATACAGGAAGTGAGGAGCAGAAGCAGAGCAAACCCGAGTCTCCATTTATCCATACTGGTCAAAACATCTAAATAACAGTGCTGCTGACAGTTGACACTGTAGATCACTGTAGGGCGAAGGGTTTATACACCCGAGCCTCGGATTCTCAGCCTTCACTGAGGTCTGTGTTGGTGTGGAGGAAGGAAGTGCTGACGACGCTTCTGTTTTCATGTGAGCGCTGGAAGAGAGAGCCGGTGCACAAACACAGAAAATATATTCTGGCTGAGGAAAACAAATAGCAACACTCGTATACATGTTCATTTAAAGGACTTTATGATCACTCTTATAGTGATGTCTGATAGACATGAACGCAAAAGCTTTTGAGATTTTGCATCTGCGAGCATGTGCCTTGACCTTTGTCGAGCATTTCAAAGTCATACTGCGTCAGTAATCTACTTGAAGATACATGAAAGAATCTCATGTTTGAACAAATAGACTTCACTGTCCCATTACCTAGAAATATCTGAGTTTCCTAATCATGTTATCTTGACTGTTGACTGATGTGTGATTTACTAGTTTCAGTATCCAGAAGGTTGGAGTGTTGCGCAATT